TTTCTTAAGTGAAAATGGACCTATGTTTACACACGTCCGATCAAAGTTCACTAAATGGCTGTTTCCTGGAAATAAATGAATATTTTTATAAACTCAAATACCTATAATATAGTATTCATATATAAACTAGGCAATGATCCTGTAGAAGGGGATATGCAATATCTATTGTTCAAACAAGAGCTGAAAATTGCACCCTAATGAGCAAGTGTGCTCTGAGTTATCCTTTGGGTGGTACAAATACCAACTCACATTCCTCTCAGGGTCCATAGGACACATGACCCATAAGTGGACAGCCAACCCAACCAATCAGCCAATAAAACCCCAAATTCATATCCGGATACTGGGGCCAGGAGGCTAGGAATGTAATTAAGCTTATTAGGTTATAGAGATGCTATTTTATTAAAGGATAATTTTTTCTTTTGGAGCTTTATAGCTTTAATAAGGATAAAAGGCCTTTTAAATTATTGGAAACAACATGTAAAACATTATGCTTTTACTTAGAAACATGGGAACCTTAGTTACACTAAAATTTCAAACAGTGACTCTAAGAAAGTTAAAATAACCAAAAGAACAACCTTTATACCACCACTTTGCTGTCCAAAACTGTCATTCCTCATAGGACAATCATTAGAATGCCAGACATTTTAGAGACTTAGTACAATGTCTACCGTCCACTATTTTTACAGATGAGGAAATCAAGATCTAGCCTAGAAACTGGCACTTAAAAAATAAAAAAGCAGAGTCCAAAAGATGAATACTCGGGACGGGCAGGTGCTGGCCAGGGGACTGGAGCTCCTGAGAAGCAGGGTCAGAGGCCTGGCTGGCTGGGCCTCAGCAAAGGAGCTTCGAGCTCTGAAGAAAACCATGTTCCAAAACGAGGACAAGGTGTTGGGGAGATGCTGAGTTTATAAAAACAATAACCAAACACAAAGATATTCTGGGACAAAAGCTGGGTTACCCTCTGAGTCTGGGGTCACCTGGGATGAGGGGTGGGCTCTCCCCAGGAAGCCAGGCCCTCAGTCACCACCTTAGTTCCTAGAAGAGCCAGGAAAGCAAACTTATTTTGAAGGACATGGAACTGACGTAAGACAGAAGGTGCGTATGAATCACTGACTCAGTGCTCCTCACGACAGGAGGAAAGCACCTCTGTCTGCCCATCGGCCTCCCCAAAAGCTCGAGACCTGGACAGAACAAGAGGCCCAGAAGCCGGCTCCTCGGCGTGTGTCTTGTAGGACTGAGGCCGAGAGGTCCTGTGCTCGAGGAAAAGGAGCAGCAGGTGTGCGGGTTATCCATCGCTTGCCCCACTCCCACGCAGGCATGGCCTGCCTGTGCCCTGGCCAGCTGACTGCCATGACTGCATTCCCTGGGCCAGGTGTCCCCTGGCTTCCACCTGGTTTCATCCAATGGGAAGCCCTGGCGAGGGATGGGAAGAGAAGTCAGAGGATTTCTCCCCATTCTCTCCTATAGCTCCTGCCCAGGGGTCCCCATGTGAGGCCCAGTCCCCTGGCTCTGCCTTTGCCCCCTGGTCCCTGCAGGCCTCGGGTGGTAAACACCTTCTGGGGCTCACGCTCCTGGCTGGTTCCATTTCATTTCCTCATCCAGTTGACCCTAACTCCAAACTAGAGTTTGTCTTTTGCCAGCACCCTGAGACAACACAAGGGAATGGAGGCCATGGGATAAACATGGCCCCTTATAGAAAATTCCCTGTTGAATCGGAGCTTATTGAGCAGAATGGAGATCCACGTAGACTTTGAAAATACACAGACCTTCAAAAACAAGCAGCTTCAAACCCCACATTCGGCTGCCTAGGCAGTTCTTTGGCCTCCAAGTTCTTTAGTGGCAAGACTGGGAAAGGACGTTCTCCTCGGACCGTGGAGCCCCCCAGAGCCCCCTGCCTGGGAGGTGGAAGCAGTCATGAGCTGCGTAACAACGTTTCGGTCAACGATGGAGCACAGCTAGGAGGTGGTCTGTAAGATCACACTGTACAGACTGGTGTGTAGAAGGCTAAACCATCCAGGTGTGTAGGTGTACTCTGTGATGTTACACAACAACGAAATCACCCAACAACACATTTCTCAGAACGTATCCCTGTTAAGAGATGCACAAATGTAAAATTAAAGTGAATTCCTTGACTGCCTGAGGGAGCTGGTCTTCCAGGCTACAACCTGATGGACACAAGGAAGTGGAGTGGACAGACTTCATGGAGGACCAGAGCACACATGCTCACTAAGAAGAGGCATGTGCCCTAGAGGGAGGACACAGGAACCGGAGCATCCTAGCTCATGGCCTGGCTCATGGCCTGCGTAGGAAGTCGCTTCTCTGATACTGTGGTGAGAGTCCAGTGCTTGGACTGTTTTCAGAATACAGAGTCAGTCTTTAGCAAAGGCCCTGCTGGGAAGCCAACATCTTTTGTTACTAAATGGACAGAGAAGTGTGCAATACATATTGGAACATTTTTCACAAAGTCTAAAATTTAAAAATGTCCTGCACCTAAAATAAAAAACACACCCGTTACTTAAAATAAAAGTGAGAAGGAGGTGGGTCAAGATGGCAGCTTTTCCTGGGCACCTCCAAGCCCAGCACAAGAAGCAGCCGTCTGCAGTTCACTTTGTAGCTTATGCTAAGTGGCCCTGGATAGAGCACAGGCAGTGGCCGACCTTGCCCCAGAGCCAGCACACCTGGTAGACAGCTTCAGACCACATTGAAACACCATCACCCAACCACCCCCACAAGTGACACACTCAGTGAGTGGACTCTGGGTACCAGAGCCCTGCTGAAGTAAGTCTTGCTCTGTGTGGTGGGCCCCTGCACAGCTGATCCTGCAAGGTGGTGGCTAGTGGGCTCAGCCAGTCCTTGCAGCTGATCAGCCTGAGTAAACCCCTCCCATTGACGTGCCAACAGCAATCAAGACTCAATCACAAGGGAACGGTGTACAGTCCACACTAGGGGTGCACCACGAGGGCCCAGCTGGGGTGATCAGGGAGGCTGTGCCACTGGATCCTACAGGACACCTACAACAGTAGGCCACCCTACAAAGCATAGGAGGCATAGCAACTCTGCCTAATACATAGAAACAATCACAGGGAAGCAGCCAAAATGAGGAGACAAAGAAACATGTCCCAAATGAAAAAAAGAACAAAACTCCAGGAAAAGAACTAAACAAAATGGAGATAAGCAATCTAACAGATGCAGAGTTCAGAACACAGGTTATAAGGTTGCTCAGGGAACTTGGTGAGACATCCAAGGGACTTAGTGAGACCTTCAAGGAACCTAAGGAGACCTCTGAGGAACTTAGTGAGAACATCAACAACATAAAAAGGGCCAGTCAGAAATGAAGGAGGCACTAACTGAAATAAAGAATAATTTACAGGGATTCCATAGTAGAGTAGGTAAAGCTAAGAAGCAAACCATCGATTTGGAATATAAGGAAGCAGAAAACACCCAATCAGAACAGCAAAAAGAAAAAAGAATCCAAAAAAATGAGGACAGTGTAAGGAGCCTCTGGGACAACTTAAAGCGTGCCAACATTCACATCATAGGGGTGCCTGAAGGAGAAGAGAGAGAGCAAGAAATTGAAAAACTATTTGAAACAATGATCACAGAAAACTTCCCTAACTTGGTGAAGGAAACACATGTACAAGTCCAGGAAGCACAGAGAGTCCCAACAAGTTGAACCCAAAGAGGTCCACACCAAGACCCATCATAATCAAAATGCCAAAGGTTAAATACAAAGAGAGAATCTTAAAAGAAGTGAGAGAAAAGCAGTCTGTTACCTACAAAGGAGCTCCCATAAGACTGTCAGCTGATTTCTCAAAAGAAACTTTGCAGGTCAAAAAGGAGTAGCAAGAGATATTCAAGGTGATGAAAAGCAATGACCTATAACCAAGATTATTCTATCCTACAAAGCCATCATTTAGAATCGATGGACATATCAAGAGTTTCCCAGACAAGAAAAAGCTAAAGGAGTTCATCACCACCAAACCAGTATTATATGAAATGTTGAAGGGTCTTCTTGAGGGTGAAGAAGAACAAAAATATGAACAATAAAATGGCAATTAATACATATCTATCAACAATTGAATCCACAAAGAAAATGAGCACGCAGAACAGAAACAGACTCATAGATACAGAGAACTTTTTGTTTCTTGCCAGATGGGTGGGGGCTGGGGAGACGGGTGAAAAAGATGAAGGAATTAAGAAGTACAAATTGGTTGTTAGACTGATGAACCTCAAAGGGAAAGGGGGAGGGAGGGCAGGTTGAGATAAACCAAAGAACTTCCATGCATATATGCACAACCAATGGACGCCGACAATAGTGTGTGGAAGGCGGAAGGGGCGGGAATGGGGAGGAGGGGGGGTCAATGGAAAAAAAAGGGAGAAACATCTGTAATACATTCAACAATAAAGATGAGTTTAAAAAAATTAAAAAAGTAAAATAAAGGTGAAATACAAATTGATCATATCCTCCCAACGCTGGGTAGATAGGGTTAACCCCAATCTCTTGGCCTCTCAGGGGAACCCAGAAGAGAGGAGAAAGCAGCCCCCAAGGGTGTGTGCATAAAAGGAAAAAGTCCGGGGCTTCTGGGAGGGGACAGTGCAAACCACTGAACAGAAGTAGAACCAGCTGGGGAGTCCTCCGTGTCCCCTCCAGACACCCACTTCATTCAAATTCCTTTCCTCCTTCCTTGTCACTCTCATATACGATGCCTGTGCCAAGCTTTCATTAAAATCCAGGTTCTGAAGTCAAACACGTCTGGATGCTGCTGGGTGCACGAATCACAGGTATGTACATGAACAGCTACTCGGCCTCTACCTTTTAATACCAGCTGGATGATGCTTCCTAAATGTATTTTTATTCAGATGGAGAAGACTTGTCTTTGTTAATATTGAATGCCAAGGGGAATTATTTTATTTCTAATCTTTTTTTTTTTTAAAAAAAGAGAAAACGGATCAAAAGGCAATAAAAGAAATCAGTACGCGCCAGGAGCTCCTCTGCTTACCTGCTATCCCCAGCATTGGCCACGTACAGCTTCCCCAGGAGGCAGATCACAATGAGGGCTGTGCAGCCGCCGGATATGCTGTATGAACTCCTCTCTCGCTCTATCTGCAGGTCCTGGAGAAGAAAACGGAGTTAGTGCTGGACTGTATGGGAACTCGGATCAACGACTTTCTCAGCTTCGCTCTCTAAGGGTCTGAATGTGCTTGAAAGAAACAAGAGAATTCTCGGTACTTGCTTTTCCACCACCTAATGAGCATCCCTGGAGAGGACATTGGCATGAAACTGCTGCCTGCCGGACCATCTGTGGGCCAGAGACAGGAAGATGGCAAACACACATCACCAGGCAAACACACATCAAGAACACAACCAACTGTATTCAATAAACATCACAGCTTACAGAAAACATGGTCTTTGTACAGACTGCCTGAGCCGCCACGTGGAAAATACAATAGATGCCAAGTACTTGGACCTGATCAATGTTTTTAACCCCAAAGTGTCCAATCCACCGTTTTAGAGCGAGATGAGAGAGGTGACTTGAAGGACAGTGCCCTCTGTTCAGTGCAGACAGGAGTCAGCCTCCTGTCTTACTGATCAAAGACATAAGCTCCTAGACTTTGGTGTGACTTCCTCTTCCCACTGATTCACACCAGTGACGCGCATGCATAGTAACAGTCGGCTTCCAGGGCGCAAACCTCTGTCAGGTGGCGCACTGAGCACTTGACAGACAGACTCCCGTCTCATCCTCCCAGCCACACTGTCAACCTTACTGTCCAGGTGCGAGAAGTGGGGTGACCTGCCCATCTTTACCCATCTGGAGTTTAGGTTCCAACTCATCTTTTTTCCTTCCAAAGCCTGTTATTATTTGCCACCTAATGAGGCCTCCACAAGAAAATTAAACATAGCACAGCACATCTACTAACAATACCCATCGTCCTCAAGACAGATGTCTTTGTGGAAGTCTGTATCAGTGGCAGAAGCCAGGGTTCCGTCACCTCGGAAGATGCGAGTTGAGTCAGGAAAATACATGGGTTGCTAGCTAAAATAACGCCAAACATTCCGCGGTAAGCCACGGGGGTGGGGGGCGGCATGGGTTGGGCGGAGAGTAAAGAAGAAGAAGAAATGGTGCCCTGGCTGCCTCTGAGGTCGCCACTGGCAAGCTGAGGGCCAGGGCACTTCTGTGATTCTAGAAACCCACAGAACAGAGCTCAGTGCCTTTGGCCAGCTCCTCCTGCAAAGGGAGAGAGAGCTGGGTAATCCAGCGCTTATCGACGATTGCTTTAGTCCAGGGGCCAGAAGTTGTGATAGGAAGCTAGATTAATTTACCGATGGGATACTGGCAACAGAAGAGGCAGAGCTGAGGCTACAGAACAGGAACAGCCTATTGGTTAAAAAGTAAGGAGAGAAAAAGTACAGAGATAGGCACTGGGAGAAACCAACCCACGGGCAATGAAGTGGGGAAGGGGGAAGGCAGTGGGAGGGCTGAGAGCCGGGCAGGGGTGTGTGTGTGCGTGTGGCCACGGTCCTTCAGGAGCAAGGAGAGACTCCCAGTAAGGCCGTGAGTGGACAGCAGCCTTCAGAAGGGCCCAAGGCTCCGCCCTCGGGCTCGGCACCGACTCCTCCCCGCCTCTCTTCTCACAAGACCTTCAGGATCCAGTTTCCTGGCCGAGGAACCAGAGCAGAATCGGCCCATTCCCCTGTGGGTCAGATGAAAACTGGCAGTAAAATCAGGTACAACTCCAAGAGGAGCCGCTGGAGAAGAACCAGGACGGGTCTGAGAAGCGTCCAGGCTGCTAAAGTCACCGAGAAGAAAGGTCACCATCGGGGCAACTGGGTGCTTTTATTGGGAAATTATTGGAAGAATGATTTTTCTCTTTGTTGACTTTCTTCTGCAATAGTAGGTTGGTTCGGTAATAATATGTGAAACCTTAAAAAAGATGCACATGGATCAAGCATGAGGGGACTACCTTCAAGGGCAATATTTGATTTTAAAGATTTACTTAAACTGTACAAATTAACTTTTTAAAAAGGACTGCCATGGGAATTAAATTAGATGGGGGTGGGGTGGGGCTAACGGACCACAGAGTTTTCCCACAGCCTGAAATCTCCATGACCCAGAACAGAGACCTCTTAGTCCCTGCTAGACCCTCAACACCTACACCAGGCCAGGAAGAACATACTTTAAGAAATGTCTATTAATTGGGCAAATAAAGTCATACACTGAACAATGCCTGGGTTTCAAAAGGATCCCCCCACCACCTTAGCTCTGCCATAACATGAGAAATGTGTTCCCGATTCACGAACGATTCACAAACGGAGAGCTTGCAACGCAAATAAAAGCTCACTAAGGTCGGTAAGCAGGAACCCACGCTTCCGTTAAAATGAAGTCCCGCCCTGGCCGGTTTGGCTCAGAGGTTGGAGCGTCAGCCTGCGGACCAGAGAGTCCTGGGTTCGGTTCCCGCTAGGGGCCCGTACCAATAAAATAAAATAAAATAAAATAAAATAAAATAAAATAAAATAAAATAAAATAAAATAAAATAAAATAAAATAAAATGAAATGAAGTCCCGTGACAAGAACGAATGAATGTTTCTCGGAACCTATGCGGGGATGGCTGGCGGGTGAGGAGGAGGAGGAGGCAGCCGGGAAGGTTGTCACAAAGAAGCGAAAGAGCAGAAAGCAAGCGTCGAGCCGGCAAAGGTTTTATCTGTTCAACCTCGAAACTAAGCATAAACTGAACCAACAATCCTATCCACAAAGGAGTTTGTGGGTGGATTTATTCATTTTTCACATTTAAATAAATAACATATAAACTGGTATGTGAAGTCCACACCCAATTATTACTGTTTTTTTATATACTGGAAGGAACTGCGCTAGCTACAGAAACTACCCTTTCACATCCAGAATCAATATTTGTTTAAATACCTAAGTCTGGATGAAAGGCAAATCCCTGAGTACCCCTGCTTGCTGGCTGTCCGTGGACTGGAGTGTGAGTGATTCCCGACGGACTTAAACCACAGGTGCGATCCAAAAGGGGGGCCCTCTGTACACAGAGTCCACGGCATAGAAGTCCTCTGGGGCTCAGACAAGCACGTTTCGTCTGCATCATAGTGCATTATCATTTACATCCCAAGAAAACCTGATTATAAAATTATGTAATCTCTCTTAAAAAATCGAGGCAGAGTGTTCAACATGAAGATTTTCTGCCACGACAGAGTTCATATTTCCCTTTCATTTTTAGGGGGAACACTCCAGTTACTTTGCCCAGTTATCCCTTGCTATTACACTAATAGTGAGTCAATGGTGTTTTCTAATTAATTCAATCATTTCCTCCATCTTTTCCTGTTTCATCTACTTCCCCTCTTTAGCTCCGCCAGCACAAGGAATGCTGAATTTGGTAGCACTTGCACATAAACAGTGGACTAATGTCTAGCTACATTTTATCCAAGAAACTTTGCTGATATGATCATGCTTTCCACCCCCACCCCCATTTGTGTGGTAAGATACATGTATACGTACATACGTACACACACACACACACACACACACACACACACACACACACCCCTTAACTACATGTCTGCTCTCTGGAATCAGTGACAAGGATTTGAAAGATGTGTTTCCATAGACGCCATCACCCTGAAGGATTCACTGACATTAAAATACACTCTTCTATTTCTCCTAAAACGGTGTAACTAGAACATATTCTAAAAATAATTGCTTCCCTCTCCCCTCCCTAGAAGCTAAAATAGCACTTTTTTTTTTTTTTCCCTACACCACCTACTCCTCCTTGAAAGATGTTTCACAAAATCTTAGTACTGAAGGGACATTAAAGGACCATCTGGATGGTTCTTTTACTACCAGATCGAACATCATAAATGAAGTCAATAAAGACATATTTACCATTAAATCAACCACTTATTTTCTTCAAACTCTCAACTTTTCCAATTAGTTTAACTTTCTCACTCTCTAGGTAAAACATACAAAAATATTTACAATTATCATTTTTTAAAAACCTTTTTTGGTTTGGTTTTCTTTTTTATTAAATCAATGCGATCATGGGGAAAACTGCCCCCTGCTTTGTGCTAAACGGGGACCAATTTGGAATACTTCCTCATTTTAGCTAAAACTATTTGGCTAAGCTATTTTAGCTAAAATGAGAAAATCAGCAAACCCCAAGGTCTAAGTATAGAGAAACTAGCAAAAACATGCACATACTATCATTCCATTTTAAGTAAAAGGATCAACTTAAATGACTCACAAGATCCAATTAACGAGATAATTGATTTATCTGCTCCACAAGAGTCCTGCGGACCTCTCAAGGCTTCCTACACAGCAGGGCTGACTTAGCCTGGGTTATGTCTGCCTAAATATTAATTTAACCTAGGTTTATCTCTAAATCAAAGAATGAATCCAATTTTTAAGACGGGGTTTTATGTTGCTTCTTTTTGTTGCAAGAAAGAGTGGGAGCAACGAAAGGAAAAAAGAGACATGTGTCACATGAGACTAATTCAGCAGGAAAGCACTGCAAGACAGAAAATATATTACTTGGGATGGTTGTAATTTGGTTTGAAAGTCTCAGAGATGATGCAACCCCAGGATCATTCTTTGTTTCCTACCAATTTCAGGTTGCAAAAGGAAAGCAACATCAGACGGCACCGGGGAGCAAGTGTTGGGTAGTTTCAATAGGACTTGGCAAGCTCCCCCTAGCTCGGATAAAACAGTTCTGAACACATTGCTAATAGTGTCAGTCACAAATAATAAGATTCTTCATGGTTTTAGTATCTGGGTCTGATTTCGGTTTATTCTGAGAACAAGCCAGCCAGCCAGCCAATGGGAAAGGTACTGCCTAATATTGCCACCTGCTGGCGCTTACTGAAATCACATGCCCATTCCTTCTTGGAGGAACTTCCTTAGTCCAGACAAGACAGCAAAACTCTAGCTTAAATACAGGCAGACACGTGGGTCCACAGCTTAACCATGAATATGCTAATTTTTAAAACACTGGGATTTCTAAACTATAAAGCTTTGCGTTCTTCCTCCTCTTTTTCACTAGTCACCATATGACAAATGACAAATAAAGCCAAGCCAATTGGTATTTCCAATCATTTACTCAGTAACAGGTAGTTTTCCAAGTTAAAATATTTTCATTTTTCTCCCTCATAACAACCAAATTTCTAGAACATCCTTCACTGTGGTGAGGAATCTATACCTGCACTGAAAAGAAAAAAAAAACCCCAGAACCTTAAGACCCTCCGACCTCTGTCCAGAACCCAAATCCTGCAGGTGGCAGGCTAAAAGGCTCGTCATTGCTGACCTGGTTTGATTCCTCAAAGGGCAAAGGTCTCCTGCAACTGTGCCTAGGATGGAAGTGACTTCCTTCAAGAATCTGAAATGCAGACTATTCCACCTTGTTTTTGTTGGGTGGGGCAGTGGGCAGGACACTGACATCAGGCCTTAGAAGTCATTTATTTTATTCACATCTATCATCTTGGGCCAAGCCACCAACTAAAACCACAGAGGACAAAACTTGGCTGCTGCAGGTGGCGTTGTTGCTGAGCTCTGCTGGGAAGAAGGACTGTAGCAAGTCAAAACGCTCCGAAACTCCGGTCGGCTAGGAAGCCGTGGTTCGTTCTCCGCGGAGGCCTGGAGCGACTGCGATGCAGCTTTCTTGCTATGAAGGACGATCCGAGACGAGACCCAACATGGGGGCCACAGGGCACACCTGCCGCTGCCCGCGTGCAGTCAGTACCAGAGGCCAGTGGTCAGAGGTCACCTTCACCACAAGCCACGTGCGGCGCCAGGCAGCCGAGGACAGAACAGGAAAGGGGAAGTAGTGCCCTCGAAGCGTCCAGTGTTTGGTGAAACTGTTACCTCCCCTTGTTCAACGCATTTCCCCCACTTCTGCTAGTCTGTATTTTCGACTAGTATCTATTTCTCTTCGAAATAAGTACCATTTATTCTGGATCTTTTAAAATGATTGTCCCTTTCAGACAGATATTAACATGCCACCACCCTACTTAGGGTTACTTAGAACACTGAAATAAATGAGATGTTGTCTATCTCTCTATTCATATAATGCATGACTACAGATGCCCCTAAATATAAAATCTAATCTTTTACTTCTAGATCCCCATGGGGTCTCGGGGAGCACGAGAGAGAGAGAGAGAGAGAGAGAGAGAGAGAGAGAATATGAACAACACTACAGAAAAGTCATCAGTGAGGCAAAAGCTGCAAATTTGAAGCTTAGGTGCTGGCTTGGGAAATTTTTAGGGATTAAAAGAGAGAGAATGTAAACAAACGACAAAGCTGAAATGACCGGATCTTATTTAATACAGGATTTTCGTACTCCAGAGGATCGGAATGGCCCACAACTGCAAGACCTCAAGAACACCCAGAAACAGGAAAGCCAGAGAGTGGCTGGTTGTTGTGAGAAAAGATTTAGGAGTGGCCAGGAAATTCCACACTTGCCCGTCTCTGAAAGGCCTGGGCAGGAACCGCCGAGATCAGGCCGGGAGATAAGGAAATTGCTTTGTGTCGGGCATTTCAGAAAACCAAAGTTGACCTCGAAACAATGACCCTCAATGACCTACTACTGAGTGGGACAGAAAAGAAAACGTTGTTTCACACGAGTTGACAATGGCCTTCCAGGCCATAACCTCGAGATACACTGTGTTATTTCTGCGTTACGGCTTCTGCAGCTCACGCCAAGCAACTTCGTGGCTAAGTCACGCACTGCTTCTGACACTGGAGTGTCTTCTGGAGTCCCTGATGAAGCAAAAATAATTAAGAGACTGTCTCTGTATGTAGTGTAAATATAAGATATCATCCAAACAGGGACCGTTTAAGAGTAAAAGGGACAGTATTAATGATAACTTGGGGCAGGAGGTCGGGCCACCCTACCAATCACCATGAAAACCAAAGCTGCTCAATAAGACCACACCAGGTACAAAGTCCAGATGGGCCTCAGGCACATGGGGGGCAAGAGAGACAATCTGGGGAAAACTACAGTGTGAAGAGGCAGCTGAGAGGTGGGACAGATTGGAGAATAAGAGAGAGTCTTAAAGCCAAAAATTCATAATATGGCACAACAGGTCCTGTTCTAGACTGCCTCTCTAGTTCACCTTACACTATTACCTTTGAAATCTCTCTTCTAACCATGGTGGGCGTCAACTTGTTGCCTGTGGCCCATCTGGGTTCTCTCTCTGATGTTCTTCATGCAAATGGCTTCCTCTGCCCAGAACACTCTCAGCCTCCCAGGTTTCATCGGCTTCACTCCTTCCCCTCCCCACACTCACATCATTTCTCCAGGGAACCCTTCGCTTGAATTCTTTATCAGCCTCCTACATCACCTGCATTTTTCTTCTCAAGGTCCTTCCCATGTATATCTCACTTGTTCAATACCCGGCTTTGCCTAATTTATTCAATGTTTTTTTTCCCAATTAGTTAGTTCTCAACAAATACAAGGGTGGGCAAAAGCAGGTTTACAGATGTTCGTATGGGAAATAATTAATAATTAGCCCTGGCTGGTTTGGCTCAGCGGTTGGAGCATCGGCCTGCAGACCAGAGAGTCCTAGGTTCAGTCCCCGCTAGGGGCACATACCAAAAAAACAAAAAAGAAAATAATAGTACAAAAATAAACTGTGTTTCACGTACTCACAACTGTGTTTATTGATTGAATGAATGACACAGGAAAATGTAGTGATCTTTTCACAGGCGATTAAGTTTTCAGGAAAAATTTCAGGTAATTAACTGGCTAGTTAAAAGCTGAAAAAAATATATAACCGACAAGAATGAGGCTCTTTTTACTAACTATTCTTCCAAACGGGCCTCTCATTTCTAGAGTTGTTGCTAATGACTCTGAGCCATTAATGGGCCTGACCCAATGTGACACTGGCCTCTAGTGGATAAAACTGAGAATACAGCAGTTCCAAGGTAAAAATGATGTCATGGCACTAAAAATTACTGACAAACCCAACGTTTCGTTTTTCACTTTTCTCCCATTCGTGCTGTAAACCCATTGTGAAATTTGTACTTCAATTAAATATTAACATTCTGAACACGGGAGTCTAGAAACACATTCATATCAGAGCTTCCGTGATAACTGGAGAGCGAGAGCTGATAGGATACTGAGCCTCAGTAGGAGCTGATTTCACTGCCTTGATTCCTTTTGTCCTAAATCATTTTTTTCTAGCCAGCCTCCTGGTGTTTTTCTTGGGACTGAAGACTACCAGACACTCCAGAGAGAGAGGTGCATTTAAACCACCTGATCCTCGAAGGGTGAATATTATCTGTTGTGACAGGAGAAAGACACCAGGCCAAAGAAGGGATGAGTTAGAGTGAGGAGAGGGTGCAAGTTTGAGATGCAAATATATGAGCTATTTTGGCCTTATAAACAAATCCAATGACACTGTGCAATACCACTTACTTTTCTCCTGCCATTAGCCCACGACCCCCAGGGAGATCCTGGAATCTGCATGGTGTGTACCTGCAAGTCTGGGGAGGTGTTTCTAGCTGCTCCTGCGTCACTCAACAGCCTGTCGTGGTTTTTAACCTCTAGGTTTAAGGACATTACCGCCCACTCACCTTATTCAAGTCCTTACACTATCTTTACTCTCATCTCTCTTATTCTTGTCTGCATGCAGGTTGCTGCCCACTCAGGAGACAAAAATCTTTGGAACCCAGCTCACTGCCCCCACAGACAGTGCTCTAGAGAAGAAAGTAGGTGCAGAATGGAGGGGGGCCCATCTTCTGTGTGCATATTCACACCAGGCAGAGGGCCAGCAAGGGACCCCGGGAGCAGCTGCCTCTCCCCCAGAGGTTCCAGGAGTGAGGCTGATGGGAAGGAGGCTGAACCCATTGATCAGACACATTCAGACTCAAATGTACAAACCCATGCTCCCAAGCAAAACATGTGATTCTTGGGTATCGCGTCCTTTTTTAAGGCCCTGAGAACATTGCCAATCATGGCAAAATAGCTGTTCTGCGATCAGCTTTGCAAAAAGCGGGTAATTTTGAGCGCTTGACTAAAAGTTGTTTTCCCCAACACCTGGAATCCATACGCATGCATATAACAGATGGCAACCACGCTCGTTTCAATTCAGTGGAATTGCAGCAGCTGGCATCAATACGAGCCTGCGGAAAGAGACGCAACCATGCATCCATTGATTTAATAAGCCCGCGGCCTCACGCATCGGCCCTTGCTTTCATCTTTTTAACTTCGGCCAGCACGCAATGCTAGGAACTCCGTCTTGCTGCCAACTTCCACTGAGGACAGAAACCCTGTTCTGAAGAGGAGACCCCACGTGGAACCGGCAGCGGGCGGACAGACCCGTCAGAGGCATGCCCTATCGAGGAACCGTCAAGAAGCAAGGGTTTGGCCCGGGTGACCCCCCGGCACCTGTCCCCGGGGCTCTTGGGTCATACCTACCATCTCCTTGAACGCGCTCTCAAGAGCCCCGATGACCAGACACTCGTGTGGAATCTTCTTCTCGGTGAAGAAGCGCGCGGGCGGGGTGCTGGGCGAGCCGGGGGCCCCCACCCCGCCGCGGAGCGAGGCTGCGCGGGTCAGCGTGCGGCCGCTGGCGGGCGTGCTCTCGGGCTCGTCGCCCAGGCAGGTGGGCGGCAGGATGGCCGAGTTCTTCAGGATCTCCACCAGGTCCTGCAGCTGCTCCGTGATGTGCTGCTGCAGCAGGCGGGACGCCACCACCGCGGCCCCGGACCCCGCGTGGCCGTCGAACAGCGACCAGTAGTGGCAGGAAACGCCTTCCGATTCCTGGTGGGAGAGGTGACAGGCGGAGTGAGAGTGGCCACATACCCCGCGACACGACGTGGCCAGGCCTCCCCGGCTCAGCACATCCCCCGGGCTGGCTTTGGTCTGCACACGGAGGAATCAAACCTGGCAAAGATCCTCAGGGGAAGGTCCCCATATTTGTCACTGCTGTGACCACCCCCACGGGATGAAGCGTCTCTGCCTCTCTACCTGGGGGAAGGGACCCAAATTACCACCTGCTCAGTTACTACCTGGAGGCGAGATCTTTTTTTTTTTTTTATCCTCACCCGAGGACATTTTTTGTTCAGATAGAGTGGGAGGGAGAGAGAGGAAGAGAGAGAGAGAGAAACATCGACGTGAAGGGACACATCGAGTGGCTGCCACCCGCACGACCAACCAGGGCCAGCGACCATCTGCAACCGAGGTACGTGCCCTTAGCGGGAACCGAACCCGGGTCTCTCGGGACCACAGGCCGACGCTCTAACCGCTGAGCCAAACCGGCCAGGGCTGGAGGCGAGATCTTAATTCCATGTGTAGATGTTTGAGGTGACTCTCATGCAAACAAATGCCTGTTTATTAGTCCATCTTTAACCTCTAACCCTCACCTGGAGATTGTGGAGAAGGCCCCTTTTTCTGCAGGTTCTTCAAGGGGAGATAAGTAGACTCATTTCTTCCCGCTAGGGCCCCACACTCAGATAACTGCCCCATCTTCTTTGGTCTACGTGCTGAATTTTTAGGCGTTCTTCCCTTAGGCAGCCCACCTAGTTCAAGCTTCGCAAGGAGCAGCCAATTCAAATCCCCCACCCCCACCCCGTTTCCCAGCTTTCCCAGCCTCTTTGCTTCCTCTTGTCCCTAAAGCTACCATTACAGCTACGTGCAGCCCACGGGCCTCACTCTCCATGGACTGAGTACCTGCCAGTTGATTTCTAGACAATTTCAAGATGAACAGTGTTGTCTTATTTTTAAATCCTCTCCCTCACTGACAGAGTGGGAGAGAGAGAAAAACATCTATGTGAGAGAGAGACATGCGTTGGTTGCTTCCCACACAACCCCGACCAGGGCTGGGGATTGACCCCACAACTGAGGCATGTACCCTTGACTTGGAATTGAACCCAAGACTCTTCCGACCTCGGGTTGATGCTCTAACCGCTGAGCCAAACCAGCCAGGGCTCAAGATGAACAGTTTCAAAAACCATGTTTGACTCACACATGCCTAAGATCTTAGCTATGGTTTAAAAAAAAAAGGAACTCAATCATGATCTCTCTGTAGGAGTGAGAAGGTAAATACTGAGATTAAATAGGTTCATATGCCATCCACTCCTAACTGCGAGGCTTATCTATCCCGCAACAGTTAATACTGAATTCTTTTTCTAGCTGAAGCCATTCAATAAAGATTTTTTGGTCTATCTTATTTTTTTTTTAATGGAAACATATTTGACATGCAACACTGTGTAAATTTAAGGTGTATAATATGTTGACCTGATGCAATTATATACTATAACATGACTGCCATTACAGCAATAGTTAGCACCTCTATCACATCATGTGATTATTTCCTTTTTTGGGGTTAGAATAATTAATATCTAATCTCTTAGCAAGTGTAATTATTATAATACAGGATTGCTACTTTATTTACTATATTGTGCATTATGTCTCACTGTAAGCTCGTCGCCTTAAACAACAGCTCACCTACTGCCATCCTGGTAACCTCCACTGTGGCTCTATCTTAGGACGAGCAGGAAGAGAGTGTCTAGTTATAGTGATATATGCCATTACTCTATTTGCGCCCTTTAAAATATTTTCACAATTGTATGCCAGGTGCTAAGAGATAAAATAGTGGGGTTGTTGCTTGTTTTTAGTCAACAAATATTTACTGAGCCCTCTGTACCTGACAGACACAGAAAAGTAGTCAGTGGTGAGAAACAACTGGATAAAAAAGATACCAGGTATGGTCTGATATTAATAATCCAGTGGGAGAAAGAGACACTGATCAAATAACCACACAAAGAAACAGAAGATCATAATTCTGGTGAGGGCTACAAGACGACGTTCGTGGTGCGTGAGGCCAGCCTGCAGAGGTCACAGTGGAGGAGGCTTCCTGAAGACACGAGGACCAGGCTGAGGGCTGCTGGGAAGGAAGCAAGATAAGGAAAGGAGGGGAGAAAACTCCAGGCAGCAGCAAGTGCAGGTGCAAAGTCCCTGTGGTAGGGAGGTGCCTGATGAGTAAGTGGAGACAGAACCATGGTCATTTACCTGAATAGCGAAGTAGGGCAGGAAAGGAGGGGGGTGAGGTTAGACTTGAGAGGGAGGTAGCAGCTAGACCACCCAATCCTGCCAGGACACATGAAGAAGTCTGGATTTAGCCTAAGAGTACCAAAAGCCATTGACTGAAGTGGGAAAGACAACACTGACTTATGTTGATAAAAGATCACTCAAATGCTGCTGCGAGGATTGGGAGAGAAGTAACAGTGAAAGTGAGGATGCCATCCTAAAAAGACATTCAACCGAATTCGGACAGTAAGAAATGCTTATGAACAACTAAAAGTATCATAAACAGAGGACTAAGCCCTGTCACTCAGAGAAAAGTTAAGTAGAAAGGACAATGACTTAAGGATTAGGAGAATGGGTCCCAAACGGAAGGGCATTCTTGCTCACTGCACCTACTTCCCCAGAGTCAGGGCCGCCTGAGTAAAACCCGCACAGGCGTCCCCCCTGCGCCTGATTTAAATGAGACCCAGCGACCGTCTCCGGAGCTGCCACAGGTGCAGGCGAGCGGTGAAGAGGAGCAGTTGTCTCGGGGTCCAGGCACAGGGGCTGTTACCCCAAAAGTCATCATGTTTCTAGAGCCATGATTTAAACCAAAGCTGATCAAACCCCTGAAAAATCGAGCTACCCTGCAATGGAACAGTACTAGATTTTTCAAAAGCAACTAAAATTCCTCTGACAGGTGTTCCAAACATTTCCGCCAACAGGGCAGAGCCTTTGCAGCTACCACACCGCCAGGTGGCAGCATGTCTGGGGGACTTGCACGCGGTCAAGGGGAAACATGGCTGGGGGACATCTGAGTGGGGCGCAGGGTCAACACTCTCCCTTTGAGAACCCGTCTGCACAGCAGTGATGCAAACTCTAATACAGCTAATGTTAAAAATGCAATTAATAATTTTCACAGCTAAAACTTGTAAGACAATTTTTCCACAAAGAAGTTTCTTACTGAATAATCTAACACTGGTTGATGTGGGGGCCAAGCCCAGACCAATTAAGTATCTCTCAAAGAGTTGTCCCACCCTTGATTTTTTTTAAAGTCCCCCCGCCCCCCACTCAGGGATTGTAACCAGTGAGCAGCCAATGTTGAGAACCCTTGTCTCAAGGAAAGGGGCTGCTAAGCAGTCTGAAGACCCACATCCCAGCTCCAAACCTGCCCTTGGCTCACTGTGTGACCTTGGGTAAGTCACTTACATCTCCCTGAACCAACCAGATGAGTGGTGTCCAAACTGTGTGCCTGGTTCTGATGTGGCACCTTAGGAACGAGGAAATGAAGTGGGTGTGTAAGTGATGAGTTCCTTTGACAATCTCAACCAGAGCAGCAAAGTTTTAACAATTATAAACGTCCAGGTTGTGCAAAAGATTTTGGACAAAAGGATACAATTGTTTAAAAAAAAAAAAAATCAAAGCCCTTGAATTAGATAAGCCCACCAAGAGGTTTCAAAATATTCAGTGTCTCCTATGGTCGAGAGGTCATAAATAAATTAGGTAAGTCAGCCCCAAATCTGAAGTAGCTTTACAGTCTGTTGGTTTTGCTGATGTAAAGTGTCTTACATAAAATTCTTACTTCCCAAGCTGCTATATTGCTTTGAAAAAATGAAAACATGAAAATATCCATTCTCTCCCTTCCTTTTTTTTTTTTTGTATGTTTAATAAATATTTATTGAGCTTTTATTCTGTACCCCGGGAGGACATGGTGAGTGAGATACACCTGAGTCTCTGAGTTGGGCTAATCCAGACGACGTCAACACCCCACACCTCAGGAAGGGCACCGTGGTGGGTGCGTACAGGGCTATGCAACCAGAGTGGGCTCTCGCCACACGCTCCGCGTCCACAGTCACAGAAACACCCAGGGGCGGGTCTAGAGCACCCTTTCCATCACTGAATAAGCCTTCCACAGCAGGCACTGTTCAAAATGCTTCACACACATTAGCTCAACCAGCCTACTCCAAGCCTATGAATAACCACCCTATGAGGAACGGTTCTCCGCATTTACAAAGGAGAAAATGAGGGACAGAGAGTGTAACTGCTCGAGGTCACCACCCAAGTGACGCGGCTGGGATCACAGTCCCCGCTCTGAGCCATCGCCCCTGTGTTAAGCTCAATACCCTACCCCACACTCCGCTGGGCCCTGGATGGAAAGCGTGTCCTAATGTCCACGTGGCACTCAGATCCACTCCTCCACTCAACCCAAACTGCAACCTGGGCAACTGTGTCTAACACACAAAACCTAATCAGATGTCTTTACCAGTCTAACAACCTGCCCAGAAGCTGGCTCCAGTCTGAGCCCCCGTTTGCGATCTCTGACCCATCTCCTTTCTCTCTTACTCCAAGTCCCACCCACACAGAACTGGGCACACCACAAACCACTGCCCTTCCCAACCCTCTGCTGGGCCCCCACCTGTCTCAGTACTCATCTTAAATATCGCCTCCCCCTGGAAACTCCCCCTGCTCCCCGAGCCCACCCCTACAGGTTGTACGTGATGGGTCACCTGCTTGGGCAAGGATGGATTGAAAGAATGTTCTGGAAAAAGGATACAATGAACAGGCAATGGAGGTGAAAGAGGCCTTTACGTGGGGGCCCATGTGGCCAGTGGCCAGATGAGGGCTAGGTCAGGGGGTGAGATTCTGGAGTCTGGCACAGCAGACCACGGAGGCTGGATCAGCTGCCATGGGCCCTGGGAACAGCGAAGTAGAACAGGACCAAGATATTAACAGAAGGAAAATCTACTTGTGGAAGT